AGGATGCTATCACACTGAGAATCTCAGCTTACAGAAATTACTGGGCATCTCTCAGTGTCACTGGCTGACTTATTTAATGATTGGTTTGGGGAAATAGACCTTTTTATTTTTATCCCATTGGCTGGACAGTCTCAAGAGTTTTATCTAGAAATACTCCTCCTGAGGTCAAAATGGGCAAGAGAGTCCCTCAGTGCAGCAGCTTCTCATTTCAATCCCCAAAGCAATAGGCAAGAAAAGAGCTTTGCAAATCACTGTAGAAGAACTTCATGCCATGGATGAAAATTATCCTGACCTTTCTTTGAGCAGTGGTGAGATGAGTGTTCACCATGCAAGGTCATTAGGCAATCACTTTCAGACATGGAGAGAATATTGGTTCAATGCTTTTGAGAATATTGGTTCAATGCTTTTATTAGCAAAAATTTCTTACTGTCTGCTTCACTAAACACTTACATTTCATGTCCTATGCTGTGCTGCTTTGGTATTCATGATGAAGAGATGTGTAATGTCTCATGTCTCAGAACACTACCCAAGAGGAACACACAGGTATAAAGCTTGGCTGCCAGATCTGACAGCATTTCTCATTTTGCTCATCTACTCTGCAGACCATCATCTCTGAGCAGTCACAGTCAAAGGGCTGCCCTACTGTGCACAGGAAAGGAGGGGGAAATACTCATGTTACTGACTGGAAAGTGTCCCCTCCCTCACATTTAATAATATGATGTTCTCCCATGAGTGAGCTTTCCTGAACAACAGCTGAAGGAAAGACAGACAAGATTACAAGAAGTTTATCTCTTTTCCACATTCACCTATTGGGTATGTAGATCTGTGAGACATGAAGCTCTGCAGGAGTCAAGAGTTGGAGGCAGGGCTGCAAATGTTGGTAGGGACTCCTGGGTCAGAGTCCTTCTACAGCTGGGAGCAATGGAAGGGAAGGGCATTTTCCTTCAGCTGCTGTGAAATGGGCACATTTTCTACTCAACTGCACTCCTGCACCTTCCCTTGGCTTCTGGTGTGAATAGCTTGTTCTTTCCC